CAGGGTCCACCTTTACTGGTTTTGGGTGGGTTTGGGGGGTTTGTTTTTTCTTTACGTGGAAGTAACGCCAAAATTCTCACTGTAAACAGGCTGGTCGGGGCTAACCCGGTGAGGACCTGCCGTGGCAGTGCCATGTTCCTCGTTCTGCAAAATAAGAGAGCTGAGCGGCAGGAGGGGACTGCCGGGGTTACTTCCGTCTCGGAAGCAAACTGCGGACACAATGGTTCACAAGGAAAAGCTGATGTTTGGCAAGGAAGACGAGTCTCGTTCCCTGTATCAGCGCTGTCGAACAACTTCAAGTTTGAAATGCAGCTATTAGAAAAGCGACTGTAAGTTTAGCACTGTCATCACCAGCAGATCCCATCCAGTTGTAACAGCTGCCATGTTGTTTAATGAGGAAATTCACTCTTACTTTATTTCCTGTTAATGTCAGAAATGAAATGCCCTATGGGAAAGCAACCTCTAATATGACTGAACTGTTGCAATTTTCTTAACTACATTTCAACTACAGAGTCAAATTCTGTACTCACATGAACTGGTGCCACCATCTTGTCTGTCATTTAGGTATAAGAAGGAGCTATATTTGATTTGTAAAATCTTTATTATGGATGATGATGTAATGAAGTTCTGTGCAGAGACATCCAAGCTACCTCCAGCAGCAGAAGTAGTTTAGCCATGTGAGCAGAGCAATTCGCTTGGGGCTAATCAGACCTGACGAGGAAAAGAGTGTTATCGTGGGCAGAACACCCTGCTAAAATAGATAGAGGCTGCTTTGGTACTCAGATAAACACAGCTGGCTGCGCTACACAGACATACCAGGCACACACCTCTGACCCTACGGTGAGTTTATGAGGAGTGACTGTCAGGAAAAAGAACCTAAAAAGGATTTTAGCTATTCTTACAGAAGAATTAGTGGAGTAATTATATGTATTGATAACGTTTTATGAGAGAGCAGCAGCTAAGTGGACAGGCAGAAAGAGAACTCAAAGCTGTACAGTACCATACCACGGAGTATTTGCAACTACTCCAGTGCGCTCCGCAAGCTGGGCACCGAAATTGGCATCGATTCCCAACGCGACACACGCACCCCGTAATGAGCAGCTGGAAAAATAAAGTAGTACCATGTAATGCAGTGTTTAGTAAATTACTGCCCTGAATACCTAATTCTGTTTTGAGAAAGACATGAGGGAGGATAATCCTATAATTCTTTAGGACACATGCTGAGGGAACCCATGAAAAAATATCCTGCATTATGCACAACAGTCAGTCTGTGTACTTGTGGCTCACAGAAACAGCTAAGCACGCAGGAGGGCTTAACCTGAGGTGGGATTATTAGGCCAAATCCACTGATGAGAACCACAATTTGGTGTGAAACAGTTAGGCTCTCCTCCAAAGTACAGACTAAAATAAACTTTTAGAACTCCTATTGATTTTGAAGGCAAGGAACTGAAATGGGTGACAGCGTCTCATGTTCTGGAACTCAACAGCAAGTTGAAAAATGCTGTAGAGTACATGGCTTGAGGGTAACGTAGAGATCTATTATTCAGGTAAGACAGCTGATTAGGAGTCATCAGGATAAAAAGTAAGTAGGAGATAAAGGGTGTGATTTATTACCAGTATTTGATTACTAATGTACAGTGAAGACTATAAGTAAAAAGAGCGAAGAGGTAAAAAGCAGAACAAAAATATATTTCTGTTCAGATGTTTTCTTATAATTAATTTTTTATTAAGGGTATATGTTAGCCAATGTGGTTAAAAGGCTGTATTTCATCTTCTGTCCTATAAACTTGGTTTGACTACTTGAAAAATATAGGCATGCTATGGGAAACATTCCAAATTTAACTCTTCAACAGTGTACTATTTTTGCAGCTGTGGCCCAGAAAGCCAACTGTATCCTGGGCAGCATCAAAAGCAGTGTGGCCAGCAGGGCGAGGGAGGGGATTCTGCCCCTCTACTCTCATGAGACCCCACCTGGAGCACTGCATTCAGCTCTGGAGCCCTCAGCACAGGAAAGACCGGGACCTGTCGAAGTGGGTCCAGAGGAGGGCGACAAAGATGATCAGAGGGCTGGAGCACCTCTCCTGCGAGGACAGGCTGAGGGAGTTGGAGTTGTTCAGCCTGGAGAAGAGAAGGCTCCACAGAGACCTTATAGCATCCTTCCAGTAGTTAAAGGGGGCTGACAGGAAAGATGGGGGACAAACTTTTTAACAGGGCCTGTTGCAATAGGACAAGGGGTAATGGTTTTAAACTAAAAGAGGGTAGATTTAGACTAGATAGAAGGAAGACATTTTTTATCCTGAGGGTGGTGAAACATTGGCGCAGGTTGCCCAGAGAGGTGGTAGATACCCCATCACTGGAAACATTCAAGGTCAGGTTGGACAGGGCTCTGAGCAACCTGATCTAGTTGAAGATGTGCCTGCTTATTGCAAGGGTGCTGGACTGGATGACCATTAAAGGTCCCTTCCAACCCAAACTATTCTATGATTATCATCTTTTGCACTCTCGTTTCATCCTTGCTGATGAACGCCATTAAAAACCTGCCTTTCCAGGGCTATGGGAACAGGTCTGACCCTGGGGCATCCCTTTAAGCTTTACCACAAATGCCATTTGTGTGCCAATAGGACACTGCAGGAAGAACTGCCCCCACACTAAAAAGACTCCAGACGTCCTTCGTTCACCAGCAGCACTGATAAGCATTCACTCCTCCTTTCCGAAGGCCTTTATCTCTGAAGACCACAGGGATCTTCCACCCTTCAGCAGCCATGAAGAAATCTAACCTAATGAGATTCCACCGGTTTAACCGACAATAACACGGCAAGGACAACTGCAGTACCTCATCCTCTCCCAGTGTAACCACTGCTGCTGCGAACATGTCCAGATCGCTACGGGAAATAAGATTAGGATGGAAAACAGCTGGTCCAGATTGAAGCCAGAGAAGACTCAAGTGATACCAGACAGAAAAGAGGAACATTCAAATCAGAAGTTGTCCGAGATGTTTTTAGCTCCGTTCACAGACAGCACACAGCCCTCATTCAGCAAAGAGAGGCAGATTTCCACAGCTCATACTCATTTCAGCTGTCCAAGGAGCATACATTTTCCAAAATACTCTTTCACCTTCACCTTGTTGGGAAACCCTTTCTCTCATCTTGCCCAGGAGCCTCTGGGCAGAGGAAGACAGGCATTTTTCATACTAGGCTGGATTAGTGGCAACTCACTGTATGAAGCTGAAAATACTGTTTCAAAATTATTACGGGGGAAAAAAAAAAATGTTGCTTTGGAGCAAATGCTTCAAGCTCAAGTCCTCCAAATAGCTCCTAGTGAGCTTCAAACGCTAGCATAAGGCACTGGCCCTGTAGGCCACAGAGCTAACAGATCAACCCCAGTAAGATCACAGACTGCATGAAGATCTACAAATAACTGCAGCAGCTGCTTCCCTTTGCAACAGCAGAGATTACAAGCCCCAGAACAAAACACAGATGAAGTCTGCGTTTTTTGAGGTTGTCTGGACAAAGGAGCGTAAGGGAGCCCAGAGTATGATTCGTTTTAAGCAACACTGCCGGTATCTTCCGGAAACATTTGAAAAAGGCTTTCCACTACAACAGACATTCACAGTTTGTTTTATCACCAAACTCCAAACGGTCTGTGATCAAAGAAGAAATCTTTCTTTCCCATCTCCCATCTCAAAAGCACAAACTAAAAATCCAAACGACTTAGTCTAGTTCCAACTCAACAAACAGAGAAAGGTGCTCTACTACTACCCAGGGGAAGTTGGAGTTGTTATTAATTATATGCAAAAAGCTACCCAGACATTTCAGTGAGGCCAGGAGTATAAAAGACTAACTTCATTTTTGTACAATACTCACCTAACTCCTACTTCCACATATCTCCTCCTGGGCCCAGTTCTCCCTTCCTGTTCTCCTTCAGATCCATCTCTCAACTCTCAGTTATCGAACCTCCAGCCACCCTTTTCACTCACCTTCTGCGTCCCCATTCCTGTTCCCTGTCTCAGCTCCCAGCCTGCTGGCCATTTTATGATTTCATATTCCCTACACACCCTCCTTGATTCAATGTATTTGCTCAGGCAGTTTCATTTTTCACCACCTGTCTCCTTGTACCTATCCCTATCTTTCATCCTCTTGATGTTCATGCCAAACCGTTCCCACCTTCCCCTAGTTTTTCAGCCAGACCCACTCCCATGCCTGCTGGGTTTCCTTCTGCAGCTCCCAGGCTGGACAGCCTTTCTTAGCCAATTCTGATCTCCATCCTTAACAGCTCGGTCCAGTGTTGCTTCATCCTCACTCCAGCCCTGGCTAGCCTGCCACCCAGTTTCTGGCTGCGGCTGCTATACGGTTACAAGTTCTTCTGGAAATTGAAGTAAAATGTCAGTACAAAATGATAGCAAGTTTTTATACTATCTTCCTCTTAAGATGTATTTCAGCTGAATGAAAACATTTGTAACCCTAACTTCATATTAACGGTACATTTTGGTGGAGATTTAAATGTATTCCTAAATAATCATCTACATAAAAGATTAAAATAATTTTTTACTTGGCTGTTACTAAGAGTGGGAATCACTGGCACTTAGGAAGGAAAGTTCAAGTCATTTAAAACCTCAAAATGATTTACAATAATTTTGTCTCTGTGTAAATAATTTTCTTTTATTATTTGCTTTGAAGTTTTCAATGTCATGAACTTGTATACCACAGAAGTCATAGTATTGTAACAGCAGCCACTGTAAACCATAATTCTTTGATATGCTAGATTGCCTATTACACCACACAGTGCACGAATCTATCATTTGTATTATTTATACTCTCTGTCAAAATATAGGCCAAAAATACACCAGCCAAAACTAGCAGCTGTATAGTACACTTATCTTTAAAGATTGGCACTTACTGGAAATACAGATAAGAAGTTGCATAATAGTAGCAGACAACTTCTTCCTCCCTTTCATCTATTTTCATTGCATCTTTTAATCACGTATTTTGACTTTTGCTGTTCCCTACAATACTTCACATACATTAGACATTATGGTCCCACTCTTAAACACATATTTACTTTTAAGCACCTACTCAAGCTCCTTTGACTTCAATGGAAGGAAGATACACGCTCTTAAATTTACACATGTGCTAAAGTGCCTCCGTGAAGACTGATCTCTAAGGGAAGTCCCCCCTGTTCAAATAATAAAGAAAGAGTATCTGTGTTGCATGAAAAAATTCTTGGAATTCCTGGGTTCTCTAGGAAAGCTTAAAAGAGGCAGCTACTTTAAAATGCAAAATCATCAGTCCTGTCAAAGGTACTACTTTTTACACTTTGAGCAACACATGTGCAGGGGATTCAGAACAATCTCTTTTGGAGACAAATCGAGTTTTTCTAACACCTCATAACCCAAGAGCAGTAAATCAGTTTTGGTTTTCCTCCAACCTTTTTTTTTTTTTTTAATTTACACTGTTTCAATGAAAAGTTTCTCCCAGAAGGAATTTCAAGGACAAAGTTCTAAGAGAGTGAAAATAAGCCTACAATAGCACAGAGAATAAGATTCAGGACTCCTCAATTTTGCTTCTCTTTTTGGATTATCAGTAATTTTTAGGAGGCTTGATGAGTTTGACTCAGCTTCCACCTTTGGGGTTCCTCTCCTGCAAAGACTTACCAAGTTTCACTGAGTATGTTCTTGCTTTTATACATGGACTCCTGGCTCTAATTCCCTATGTATCATCCAGGATTCTCTTAGTATAATCTCATTTGTACTGCCTATTATTAACATACATGCACTGCTGGAACTCATCTCACATCCTTCTAATGAGGTCCTACGGAACATGAAAGAGTAAATAACATTACATAAAATAGTGCTAATTCTTTCTTTTCCATGGCTTTCTAGTGACATCTCAAAGCTCCACTCCTATTCCTGTCTTCTTTGCTTATTTACTTATTCATAATAACTTTCTAAATATGCTTAATATTTTAATATATATTTTTTTAAAAAAAGATAAAGTCAATTGCCTTTTAAAGATTGGAAGTTAAAAATATCTTTAATTGCCTGATAAACAGCTAAGAACAGTTCCAGGTACATAAGAAGCATTGTATCCCCAACCACAGTCTCCATTTTTTCTTATCAGCTTTGAAGGGCTTGTATACAACAGTTCATTTTCTTAAGGTGGAAACAGGACTTGAAATATTAGACCAAAAAAGGCAGTGTTCCTACATTACTGACATTATAAAAATACTAAACAGAAACATAGCCAGCTTTTTTAATAGCCATCCTCTATTTTAGATTATGTTTTCATTTTGTATGACTCACGTGCTTAATATTGGATAATTATATTCTCACTTGTTTCAATGTATGGGATGATAAAGGACAATAACAATAAAATAGCACTACATGTTTACACAGTCACAGACCTCCCCTTGTCAAGAGAACTTCAGCTTTTTATTGACTTCTCTAAGCTTATGCCTTTTCTTCTTCCATTTCTCAGGACAGCATTGTGCTATTTTTCGTAAGCAGACGCTATCAGTTTGGAGTGCACTAAAGGGTTAACTGAAACAGAAACAGAGTCCTAGCACCAGATAAGGAATAGGGTACAACAGATAATTGTAAGGTTATTGTACAGCCTTGCCAAAGACTAGAAATTATATGATACGACATGGAGTATCTGAGATTTTTAGATAAAATATGATCAAATGTCATAATGTATTTCAGAGATATGCTGTGAAATTTTATTATAAAAATATGTCTAAGGCATTGAGTGGACAAATAAAAAGAAAAGGGAGTTTATCCTCTGTAATGATAATACAAGATTTTGAAATTTACTGTACCTGCTTGAGTTAGTTTACATTGACAGACACATTTCAAGTGGGCTTTTGCAAGATTTTCTGTGGTACAGGGAAGAGCAATTGTTCTGGGGAATATTTATTCCTAAAGTTGCAGTACAATAAAATTACTAAATTCATTTTAGCTTTCCTGGTTCTTCACACATGACTAAGTTATCATAACAACCTTTTCCGTCTTTTTGAAGCATTGTATTGTACTGTGGAAGGAACTAGATAGCCTGTGGGCTTCATCCTAATGGAGACTACTGTAAAATCTTTTATTTCCTTGTACTTCTGTGTTGATAGATTCATTAAAGCTGCCAAGGAGAAACAACCAGCACAAGCTCTAATTGGTTCCCAAATAAGATCCCTACTACTACAGTGATTTACTCAGAGCTCCTGTTGTAGAAGAATTTCAGCAAGCTGATTTGCCCCAAGACTCACACATGCTGGAAAATAAACCCCTGCAGGCTTGCATTAGGGAGGAAAAAAAAAAGGTTCACTGTTTTCCACTACCCATTAGGCTCACATTAGCCTCATTTTGCAGCGCTGTTCTTGTAAAGGATGTCTTTTTATGCACTGATGCAGTATCTAGCCCATGCTGACACTGCCTTGAAAGGCTCTATGAGCTACTATAGTTGACAGAACTAAAAGAGTAGTATTATTTATTTCATTTCTTTGCTCAGTGCGGTAATCTCACGAGATATGAATCTCTTCATGAGGTCCCTGGGGATAGCAGTCAGAGTGAAACTCAGCCATACTGTAGTACAATGCAAACAGCACAGACCACAGCACTCCAGCTCCAACAGCAAACAGCAGACCAAAATATAAAGTATGATGCCCAGTATCACAATTTATTTGGAACAATATTCTGTAGACCAGTTACTTTCAAAATAGATCTGCTTCTTCCTTGTAAAAGCACAAGAGTAAGATTGTCTTGAAATGGCATTGATGCTTTGCAAGCCTCATCTGTGAAAGTCAGCTGAGGAAGGGTCTCAGAAATGAAAATATTATTCTGAGGTCTGACCCTAGTACAGTTGTGAAGTGTTCTGCCATATCCCATCTTTCTTAACAAGTACTCCCAAATCTCAAAACCCACTTTCTGGAGAACTAGTATCCTGAGAGACAGCAGAAAAAGGAAAGAGAAGATGGAGTGGCAGACAGTATACTTTAAAGTGACAGCAGAGAGTATTAATTAAGTTATTTTCAGTCTTACAAGACTACAGAGTTTTGGAGGTTTTTAAAGAAATGAAAACTTCCTATTTTCTCCACATTCTTTGTAAGTCACACACTCTGTAGACTATACTTTACTGTACCACATTTTTAGATCATTTTTCTTCATTTCTCCTCCTCCTCTCAAATTCACATCTCATAAGGCATCTCAATGTGAAAACTGCAGTTGCTGTTAAGAATAGTGCTTAATATAAGTGCTGCTCATTAGTTTCCTAATGCTTAGAAACTTATGTAAAATAATTCACATTCAAGCCTTCTAAAGAATGACTAATTTGCCCTGACTACTCATTGTTGGGTATCTACAACCCCAGCTGAGAATAAAAGGATTCACAGGTATTTACCACTTCTGAAAATCAGGCCTAGTATGGCTTTGACTACAAATGTGGACACCCCAATTAGAGGCTATTTTTTTAAAATCCTTTAAAAATACCCATATACCTGCTTTCACATCATGAAGACAACAGTGTTAGAGCCAGAATTAGAAGTTCTTGGCTCCGAAACATGCTCTGACCATACATATCTTGTGATAGAGAAGAGAGCTGGAAGCAAAGGTGCAAAGGAACAATGTGGCAATAGGTAGTTCCTTCTGATCAAATGGTGCCTGCCAAGCCTCACCCTTTGGGGGTACTGCAAAGCCGCTTTCCTAGAGCCCAGCTGCTTTAAAGGAGTCCAATGATCCCTGGTGTATGGGAAGAATTTTTCAGGCAGCACCAGTTCTTCATATATGACTTGTATGTCTTTGCCAGTTGCTCACAAAACCCCCTCTTAAGTTTTACAGCGGGTTTGGGAAGTTTAGTAAGAGCCCCAAATCCCTGCAGACAGGTGATAACATCAAAATCTCATCTTTTGTTTTTGAATTATAAAGACAGTGTCAGGCAGTTGTGCTTGCAGAGACAAGCTTGATCCCCTAGCAGCTCAAAACCCACCAAAACAAACAAACAAACAAGCAAGCAGCAGAAGGTAAAAAAGAATGCACAAATTTAGCTTG